AGGTTTATCCATGTGCCTATTTTTCTCGCAGACTTTCCTCCGCAGAGCAAAACTACGACGTTGGAGACCGAGAACTTTTGGCCATAAAACTGGTATTGGAGGAATGGAGACACTGGTTGGAAGGAGCTGAGCACCCGATTCTTGTTTGGACTGATCACAAGAATCTAGCTTACATCCAATCAGCTAAACAAGCCAACCCTCGCCAATCCAGGTGGTCCCTATTTTTCTCTCGCTTCAACCTCATTATTTCCTACAGACCCGGATCCAAGAACGTCAAACCCGACTCTCTCTCTCGTCTTTACTCCGTTGATCAACCCGAGACGCCTGAACCTGTCCTACCAGCATCCTGCACTGTTGGAGTGGTTACATGGGAGGTCACCGATCTTATAAACTCAGCCCTGGCTTCTGAACCTGACCCAGGTAACGGTCCAGCTAACCGAACATTTGTCCCCTCTTCTGTTAGATCTCGCCTGATACAGTGGATGCATGCTGCCAAATTTTCCGCTCATCCGGGGGTGAGCAGAACAGTGGCTTTAATCTCTAGACGTTTCTGGTGGCCTACTCTACATAAAGATGTCAAGGAGTATGTCTTGGCTTGTGCTACCTGCGCCAGAAACAAAGCCTCCCACCAACCACCTTCAGGTCTGCTACATCCTCTTCCAGTCCCCTCGCGCCCTTGGTCCCTTATCGCTATCGACTTCGTCACTGGTCTACCCATCTCCCGAGGTATGTCTACAATCTTCACCATTGTTGACCGATTTTCAAAGTCCTGTCATCTGATCCCTCTTAGAAAACTTCCCACGGCTTTCCAAACCGCCCAGCTTCTGATCAAACACGTCTTCCGGTTACATGGAATCCCCCAGGAGATTCTTTCAGATCGCGGACCTCAATTCATCTCCCAAGTCTGGAAGGCCTTCTGCTCTGCTCTCAATTGTAAGTCCTCGCTAACCTCTGGCTACCATCCACAGTCTAACGGACAAACAGAACGAATGAATCAGCAGCTCGAGTCAACCCTTCGCTGTTTGACGTCAAGTAACCCCACCGACTGGAGTCAGTACATTACCTAGCTGGAGTACGCCCACAATTCCCTCAAATCAGCTTCCACTGGACAATCTCCATTTCAGGTCAGTCTTGGCTATCAACCACCTCTTTTCCCCGCAGACGAAAGAGAAATTTCTGTCCAGTACGTCAACCAACACATCCGTCGATGCCAGCGCATTTGGAAAGAAACCATCACCACTCTTAATCGCTCCTCCGAGACAACCAAACGCTTTGCCGACTCTAGGAGACGTCCTACCCTGGAATAGTCAGTTGGACAGGAGGTATGGCTATCCACACGAGACATCCCCCTCAAGGGGATGTCTCGCAAGCTTTCACCCAGATACATTGGTCCATACAGGATTACCCAGGTCATCAACCCATCAGCCATACGCCAACAACTACCTCCGACTCTCCGCATCCATCCCACGTTCCACGTCTCTCAGGTCAAACCAGTCATCTCGAGTCCCTTGTGCCCACCATCCGACTCCCCTCCACCCGCCCTGGAAGTCGATGGTCATCCCGCCTTCACCGTCTGCCGGATCGTGGACTCCCGTCGGCGAGGTCGCGGTTGGCAGTACCTCGTCAATTGGGAGGGCTACGGTCCGGAGGATCGCCAGTGGGTTCCTGGCTCCTACATCCTCGATCCTTCATTGATCGAGGAGTATGAGCGCTCTCTGCCATCGACGTCTTCCGGACCGCCAAGAGGCGGTCGTTGAGGGGGGGGTACTGTTGGGAGCTGGAGAAGTACCACCTTCCTCCAGCAGAGTCCGCCGTGGATCCTCCTGAGCCGAGCCTTCGACGCACCTGTGGCTCGTTCCATCATCAGAGGATCCACAGTATAAAAGCTGTCTTCAGACCTTGCCTCGTCGCCGCAGTGTTGAATCTAGTTGGTTAGCACCTGAGCCAAAGAACCTTCTGAGAATCTTTTATTGCCCTCTGAGTCCTGCTAGGATTCTAATCCTTTTGTGTCTCTGTTTCCAGGAAACCAGTTTTTCTCTGTGAGCTCTGGATGAGCTTAGACTGCCGAGCCTGCCCTCTGAGCCAAACCCGAAGACTCTTCTCTGGATTTCCCATGCAGCTCTGGATTAAGAGCTGAAAACCCAAACCCAAGGTCTGTGCCCTCATCAGAAGTAAGACGCTGAAGCAGTTATTGGACTCTGCCGAAACAAACCTTCTCTGGACCCAACAGGTCCTCTCTCTGAGCTCAAACCGGAACCCTCAAGGCAGTGGCGGCCGGCCCATAGGGGGCGCTGGGGCACCGCCCTCCCTGATAAGAAGAAAGAAACGTAAAATATATTTTTAGAAATTAACTCATAAATGTCAGTTTTACTCTCTAGACTGTGTACCTATAAGCAAAACAAATTATATAAACTACATTTCCCTATCTACTGTCATTAATTTGTGGATTTCCACAGACAGACTCCTACCGTCTCTGTTCTGGGGGCGCTGATCAGACTGACCCATATTTGCAGAGAATCTGTCAATCATGTACTATTGCTAGGTGAATTTAATGGCCAATCAGCGTCTCGGAACTTTATGGTATTGGGGCGCTGAAAATACTGCGCTTTAACAGGCTTCTGAACCCAAGCGCAGGTGCAGACAATTAGAGGGAAGATGGCGAATGTAACGAACGAGATGCAGCTTCCACCAAATTCGGTGAGATCCTTATTTATCTACCCGTTTGCCAGAAGAACATCCCTGTTGTAGGATATGAACATTTCATGTCATGGTTATTGTGACTGTGACGAATCCACCTCGTCGCTTAAAACAACCTCTCTAACTTTGCGCGCCACGCACACATTCCTGTTATACTGTGTTTGTGAGGACCAATACACTCGCGCTGAGACCAGTAGCTCCATGAACTTAAAACACACAAGCTGTTCCTGGTTACCTGCTGGCATATTGAGGGTGCACACTTAATATTTCAGTGGGGTTAGCCGTGTGTGTGTGTGTGTGTGTGTGGGGGGGGGGTGGGGTGGGGGGGGGGGGTGTGTACGTGTTTATGCTACGGGGACTTGTCATCTTCAGTCTGGCTGCGTCTTTGCTGGGTTCAAACCCACTTTGGTGTAATTGAATAAGTCAATGAATCTGTGTAAAAGAATTAAGTTGTAAAAATGATTTGTTTTTGTACATCAATTGTTTGTGGAGGTAATATATGGACAAAACTGATTAATGAGAAGAAATCAGAAATAAGAGAGCCTGATGTGAGGGGCTTAAACTATTTAATGAGGGCTGTGGGAAGAAAAGCGGCAATTTTTGTTTTCTGTTTCTTTGTTACATTGCTGGTAACTGGAGGGAGGCTGAGGCCCAGAGTATCTTGTACATGTTTAGTTTCTTTTGCATCCTGTTTTGAGTTTTTGAGCTCAATAAATCACCAACACCGGTAATCCGACTGAGACTGGATTCTTGGAGGCCAAAGAACCCCGTCACAGTGACCCAAATCATCACTGTTACTGTTATTATATAGTAAATTAAATCATTACTGTTAAATTGTATGTATTGTCCAATTGTTTATTTGAATTCTTATTCCGGATTAGTTGGAGACATACACTAGGCTATATCAGCCCCACCAAAAATATTTTTCACCAGCCGCCACTGCCTCAAGGTATTAATCTGAACTTCACAAACCCAAACCCAATTGCTCTCAAAGCTAACTGCTCTGTTATCTACAGAGACTCCAGTGAACCAGTCCCCAGGCCTGAACCAGTTCCAGTCAATATTCCATGTGCTTGTGAACAATAAACATTGTTAAACTTTTACTCTCGTTTCCGTCTCCGTGGTGTTCTGCATAACTGGGTCTCATCAGTGAACCCATCATGACAGTGTCTCTGCAGGTCATTTAAGAGTCTTCAGTAAAATTGTTGATAAATAACTATTTTAATAAAACTTATTAAATAATCAATTTATACAGATATTAGTACTTGTAAATATCAATTTTATGCAGAATGGTTATTGATAAAAGTAGGTAAGTAATGACACTGGAAAATATGTTTGCCCCAGAACTCAAACCTTAAAGAATTTTATCCACTATACCTTTTATCTAGAAAGCACAGATGTTTAAATATTTATGCGTCTATTTGGCTACGTTCACACTGAAGGCCTTGATGCTCAATTATGTTTTTTTTTTGTGAAATCAGATTTTTTTGCGTTGCCGTTCATATTTCCAAATATATGCGACTTGTATGTGATCTCCTGTGTGAACTACAGTCATACAACGCAAGTTTCCTGCATGCGCAGTAGCGGACGCAATGACGTCACAAGCCAGTGTTTATGGAAGTAAACATGGATGGTAGTGCCGGCGCGCATTTAGCGGTCTTTTCCAACCATAAAAACTCAATCTTTTCAAGGTGGTTAAGCATAAATACTGCTCTCTGCATCATCATCTGCCATGGTTGTTGTTTTTCTTGCTGCTTCTTCATAGCAAGACGCAGAATAGGGACCTTTGTCGGGTATTGATGACGTTCAGGTCGGATGAATCCGACCTGGCCGTTCAAACACAGGTCGCATTTGAAAAATTTGTATCGGATTCAGGACCAAATATCCAAGTGGCCTGGGTCACATTGGAAAAAATCGGATCTGCGTTGTTCAGACAGCCATGGAAAGATCAGATCCAGGAGGCATATGGGCAAAAAAAATCGGATTTGGGTCACTTCAGGCTGCAGTGTGAACTTAGCCTAAGTCAGCAAAGGTTGTAGGAAAGATAATTTGTCTTTATTTAGAAAATATGGATGCTGTGCTCATTAATGTTTCTTGTTATAGATTGAAAATGAATTTCTGGCGCCTATCAACTTTTGGCCACCCTTCATTGTACATTGGTTATTGCCTGGCCACCTTTATAAAAATTTTCTGGCTACGCCTCTGGTAGGGGGGACTGGGCCCTGGACCCCCATATCTCGTTGTTTCACCCCTGCTACTGAATCTGAGCCCAGATTGAAAGGAAATCCGCTGCGTTCTCATCAGACCGATGCGGAAACGCGTCCTGAAACAGTTTGGACTTTCCACCTCGCTCTGCGCTTTGGTGCAATGCGAACACAGCCACATAGTAAGGCGGAACCCTCCCACTCCTCCTATTGCTATAACAACCACAGGTCTGTGTGACTCCTCAGCGCAGCGGCTCCATCCTCCCAGCATCGCCGCGTCCCCGCCCCGGAGGAGGAGGAGGAGGGGAAGAGCCTGCATGTGTTTCCCCGGTCGGTGATGCGATCAGCGGGGAGGCTCTGGCTCAGGATCCGCTACGTCAGACAGATTAGTCTAATAACCTCTCTGGGTAGGACATGCCTCCCCCCTTTGGACTCGCTTGGCATGGGTGAGACAGACAGACAGACAGACATCCAGAGAGCTTCCAGACCCTCAAAAGTGAAGCACTTTTATTTTTCCTTTATTATTTTTTGGGGCTGGGTGACTCTAGTGTGGTGATCCTCCTCCAGAGAGCGGCGTCTCCTCATCTTTTCTCCTCCTCCCTCCTCTCCACCCCACCTCCTCCCCGGTGCGAAATGGCGCAAGAAAACGGCGAGTCCAGCGACGGCTCTTGGAAAAAGCACGTAGATGACATCAAGGACATCTTTGACTTTAAGGAAGTCCTCGGAACGTGAGTAAAGCGGCGGCTGCAGCGCGCAGATCAGAAAGTTTGCAGGCGGAGAACAATGTGACAGTGTGGCGTTTGAACGGAAACGACAGAGCAGAGACTCTGCACAGACTGACAGCTGTTGAATATCTGCGCCTTTTAAACTTCTCCTGCTCTCAAGCATACAGACATACTCGTATATATATATTTCTGGTCATTTCTCATTCATAAAGTGCGCCATTCCCACTGCTCTGTGCGTTTTCATTCAGAAAAAACAAAGAAACAAACAAACCGCAGCAGGTTGTTGTCAAGGATCAACTCAAGACTGAATCTCCTGCTTTGTAAACTGGCAGCCATTTATTTAACTGTGTCCTCTTTTGCAGAGCGGCTCCTATTTGCATAAACAAAATAGCAAATGAAAGCTAAATGTATGCATCATCTGCAGGAGATGTGGGGCTCAGTCACTTTTCTCTGCTCTTCAGGGAGCTGAGAAGCTTCATGTTTCTGATCCTGTCCTCAACTTTTTGTCACCACAGATTACAATATATTTAAAATTGGCATACATGTCACAAAATAATGAAACAAAGTGTGCGTAATCAGGATGACACCTGAACGCCCCATGTAGAAACATGGAGGTGGTTGCATCATCCTGTGGGGGGAGCTTTTTACAGTAGAAGCAGGGAAGCTGATGGGAGAATAAATGAAGTTTAAAGTCGTAGGGAAGTCATATTTAAATGTCAAACCATTCTGGCTTAAACATGTATATAATTAACCTGACTAACCTTCCGTTGAAGTAATTTTGGGAAGGGGCGAAAATACTGGTTAGCTGATTGGCCTATGTTGGTGATAGACAGGCCAAATAAACCAATCAGATCAATGAAGCATATGACGTACTAACAGAGCGAAGACGAAAACACAACCACAAGCCAATTGATTGATCAAACTCTTGCCGAAACCAGTTGGGAGAAGAGCAAAAACATCTTTTCCTCTGAGAAAAGCCTCCAGAGCAGTGTTTTGCTCTTCTTTCAGTGAAGAAATACTCTGTAATTCCGATAAAACTTGCTCGATAGCCATGCTAACGCTAGTTTCATCGGCTGAAGCCGCCATGTTCTTTAGACTGAACTGTCGCGCTTCTCGTCGCGTCACACCTCAACCCGCCTCAAAGCCAACGCTGATTGGACGTTCGTTTGGTGAACGGCTCCAAATTTTCTTTAACAGAGAGTCTCCAGACTGATTAGCAAGTGAAACCTTGAAAGCTCGCGAGATCAGGATGGTCTTACGAGGCTAGTATATAATGAAATTGTCCCAAAAGTTAGACATTTCTATAAAAAAAAAAATCCAGTCTTAAAATCTGTGGGGTTTTTTCCATTATCTAATGCAGGCCAGTTAGTTATACGTCAGCCTGAACACCTAAATTCGGCCAATCATATATCAACGCAAATCTTGACACTATTTGTTCATAGATCCTTACAATCTGTCTGACTGAGCTTGAGCTCTTTTGCAAATAACAATAAGCAATCTCAGTCTCTTGATCTGCCAAGCACATATAGACATTCGACACTCCTGAAGACGTTAAGGATTTAAGTTGTAGGGAAGTCATATTTAAATGTAAAATCATTCTGGGTTAAGCATGTATATAAATGTACTCTTCATCAGACTATATAGTCCCAAAATTAAAAAAAATGCAATTTAAAAAAAAATCTTGTCTTAAAATCTGTGTTTTTTCCCCGTTATCTTCTGCAGGCCAGTTAGTTATCCGTCAGCCTGAACACCTAAATTCAGCCAATCATATATCAACGGTCATCTGTCAATCAAATTTTTTCGGTCATAGCGTCTTGATTCCTATGTCGCAGCTAATATATGCACCGGTTGAAATAAGAAATAAGAATAATTTCCTTTCCCATTGAGTTGCGTCCCAGTGTTCACGGGGATGGACGTCTGTGTCTTCGGCAGGCGTAGAGCTAACAGAACTGGCAACGTTGCGAGGCAAGGGCTCAAACATGTACGGCTGGAAGCCTTCTACACCAAACCAAGCTTCTGCCGCCCTGGCGTCCTCTTCCACAACATCTTCGTCCCCGCTTTCCTCCTCTAAATAAAAAATGTATGATGGAGGAGACTCATCCACGACCTCCGACACTAAACTCTCCTCCTCTTGCATGTTTCCTCTGTCCATAGCGTTCCTTGACAGTGTCGTTTCTAAGTCACCAATTTAGTGCTACTTGGTCCCAATGGAATTTCCCATTGGGAACCTACTAGCACTAAGATGCTAACTGATTAGCAAGATGCTTCTGACAAACCGGCTACAACCAAACTTGCTTGCGAACCTTCCACCACAACAACCCCACCTCCTTGATAAACAACCAATTTCGGAAATTCAAATGTTGGAACAGCCGCTTCCCTACGACTTTAACACGAAGCACATGTGGAGGGTTTAAAGATTAGGGTGATGTGAAAGAGGCCTTCCAACCTCGAGGGCTTTGAGCTTATCAGCAGAGTTAAATGGTCAAAATACCAGTGAGGAAAAAAAAAAATCTGCAATTATAGGAAGGGTTTGACTGCTTCAATGTGAAGTCATTAAGAAGGCTTAAAAAAAAGTTTTGAAAACAGTTTGTTCCCATGTCTGCTGGTTTATCGTATAAAATAATCTGTTTGGAGCTGCAGGGTGACCTAATGTGAAAAGGCGGATGGATGGGAGTCCTTCTCTGAGGAAGGCCAGCAGGTCCAGCTGTGAACAGTTATGAGAACCGAGGGCCCCTTTAGATCAGATTTTTTTTTTTAAGTGCAGAGCAGTTAAATTCCAGAGTTTATTTTTGTCTGCTGTGGGTGCAGACAGGTTTGATCCTTTAAAAAATATCTGTACCAGAGATAGTAGGTTACAGGACAGAAGCCTAACCCAGTCATTCCAGGGATGGTTTAAGGTGCTGATGTGTTTCTTTATTTCTGTGACCCATTTTGTCTCTAAAGACACATCCACTTAGCTGGGAGGAATACTTCATGTTTGGGATTTAGGGCTGAGGAAGAGGGCTCCCTCGGGGGGTTAACCTGTTTGTCTTTCATTTTTCTCTCAGAAAGTGATGCAAATCATCATAAAATGGCTCTTAGTGCTTCCAGCTGTTTTGACAAATGAGAAAGCATATTTGTCCTTCATAGGCACGCATACTTTTCAGTTTTTTTCATTTCTAATCGAGCATGATCTGCAGGATTTTTTTGATTTGAACTGAATAAGAGCGGATGAATCTGAAAACCCTTTATATTGCTGATCTACAAAGCTTCAGCTGTGATCGAACGGTCTGCAGCTGCTACCTGGGGGCAGCTTTCATTTCCCCCAAGGTTCTCCTCAGATGTTTGAGGAGCCTGTGAATATAACACCAGTGAATCGCATCCGTGTGCTGTCCACTAGATGGAAAGAAACGCCCACAGAGACCCGATTCATGCATCTTTTCTCGCTGCCTGACCTGCCGCCACATGACGCTGTTACAAAATAGGAGAAAAGGTCCTGTCTGGCTCGAACTGAGGCCCAGAGCGCTTGTTTCCGAGTCTTAATCAGAGAGAGGCTTGTTGCCTCACAGCAGGGATCGCAACAGGATACCTGGGCTAGAAAAGCCCAGCAGGCCTCCAGCTTTGCCTGCGGATTAAAAAAGGAAGAGGAAGGACTGTTGGTCAGAAAGGGAGACAGATTATCCTCCTCACCTTGCCCCACCTGTCAGCTTAGGTTGAGGTAAATTTGTAGGGCAAAGCATGGTTAGCTTTATGTAATTAATTTGCTTAAGTCACCTGTGATATAAGTTAACCTGAGAGATTTGAGTGCAAATAAGATGGTTAATTTTGCAAAGGGAGTCTGATCCCAAGCAGCTAGGAAGCCTGCAGCTTGTTTATGTTTGTGCACTGATCTGATGTTGATATCGGTCAACAGGAAGGCAGTGGCTGTGTCAAGAATGCTTTGGCTGCTCTTCTTGCTGCTGAGATAATGAGATCTCACCCACTGAATCTATGCCCCGTCTTTCCTGGGGGCTAATTTCAGCCCCTTAAGCTGCTGATGCTCAGAGGAAGTAAGTTAAGTAAACCAAGTTGGAGCACGTTCAGCCATCCCAGCGGGCGAAGTGCTGTGAAGGTAAAGCTCTAGGAACAGTTGCCTCTCACGCCGGAGCTTTTGAGGATCAGAGGTTGTGGTATTGATTGGAATCGAGAGGCTTTGTCTTTCATGATCATATCTCATGAGTCTGAGAAGAGACACAGAGTGAAAATGCAAACAATTATGTTTCAATTGCCAACCAAAGGTAGTTCCTCCTGCAGCTGCATCATATTTTTTTTTAAATCTTTTTTTATTACATGGTAAACTGACAAGAAAATAGAAACTGCTACGATTCTGAATTTTTAAAAGTGGGCATGAAACGTCCTCCTGGAGGTTATGAATGGATGTATTATATCTCAGCTCCAATTTGATGTTTTTCAGATGGAAAATAAAATTTCATTCTAAAAAAAAAAAGAAAATTAAAAACAATCTACTGGACTTGGTTTCCAAGTCTGAAGACGTTTCGCTTCCCACCTAGGAAGCTTTCTCAATTCAAAATGAGAAAGCAATCGAATTGAGAAAGGTTTTTGGAATGACTATGACCTGGATGGCTGAGAATCTTCACTAGCTTAAAATAAAATGTCCTTAAGTATGTAATTATGGTGGTTCAGATTAACCAACACTTGTAAATTAAAAGCCTCTCTGTGTTGGCTGTAGTTCAAGTCCCCCTCAGCATGATCCACCCAACACCATGCTTCGTTATTAGGCCTATTATTTTTCTCACAAAGGTCTGCATAATATTCCCTTTTCCTCTGAAGAGATAAATAAACTGGAAAAGATGAAGCGAAGGAAAACCCTTTGATACTGTTCATATTTTCATATTTTCTAAACCAGATGATGCAACATCATGTTGGAAGTGAACACTTCCAACAATCTGTAAAACACCCTTAGATTCTCCCCAAAGCTGTTGAAGTTTAGAGCCTGTTGCCATGAAATCGCTGGAAGGAAAATG